GTGTAAATAGTCCGGGTAGCCATGATTAGCTGTTCAGGAGTCTTATGGCTTGGGGGTAGAAGCTGTTGAGAAGTCTTTTGGACCTAGACTTGGCACTCCGGTACCGCTTGCCGTGCGGTAGCAGAGAGAACAGTCTATGACTAGGGTGGCTGGAGTCTTTGACAATTTTGAGGGCCTTCCTCTGACACCGCCTGGTATAGAGGTCCTGGATGGCAGGAAGCTTGGCCCCAGTGATGTACTGGGCCGTACGCACTACCCTCTGTAGTGCCTTGCGGTCGGAGGCCAAGCAGTTGCCATACCAGGCAGTGATGCAACCAGTCAGGATGCTCTCGATGGTGCAGCTGTATAATTTTTTGAGGATCTGAGGACCCATGCCAAATCTTTTCAGTCTCCTGAGGGGGAATAGGCTTTGTCGTGCCCTCTTCACGACTGTCTTGGTGTGTTTGGACCATGATAGTTCGTTGGTGATGTGGACACCAAGGAACTTGAAGCTCTCAACCTGTTCCACTACAGCCCCGTCGATGAGAATGGGGGCGTGCTCAGTCCTCTTTTTTTTCCTGTAGTCCACAATCATCTCCTTTGTCTTGGTCACGTTGAGGGAGAGGTTGTTGTCCTGGCACCACACGGCCAGGTCTCTGACCTCCTCCCTATAGGCTGTCTCATCGTTGTCGGTGATCAGGCCTACCACTGTTGTGTCGTCAGCAAACTTAATGATGGTGTTGGAGTCGTGCCTGGCCATGCAGTCATGGGTGAACAGAGAGTACAGGAGGGGACTGAGCACGCACCCCTGAGGGGCCCCCGTGTTGAAGATCAGTGTGGCAGATGTGTTGTTACCTACCCTTACCACCTGGGGGCGGCCCGTCAGGAAGTCCAGGATCCAGTTGCAGAGGGAGGTTGAGTGTCATTTCAATGTAGAGATAACTTACCACCGACGACGAGACTGCTTATAAAAGAGGTCAGTGACCTGGCAGTGTGTTGCCAGGACAACAACCTTTACCTCAACTTCACCAAGACAAAATGAGCTGATCGTGGACTACAGGAAACGGAGGGCAAAGCACATCGACAGGGCTGTAGTGGAGCGGGTCGAGAGCTTTAAAGTTCCTCTGTGTTCACATCACTAAGGAATTAACATGGTCCACACACCAACACAGTGGTGAACGTGGCACGACCCCCTGAGGAGGCTGAAAAGATTTGGCATGGGCCCTCAGATCATAAAAAAGTTCTACAGCTACACAATTGACCGCATCTTGACTGGATGCATCACCGCTTGGTATGGCCACTGCTTGGCATCCGACCTCATGGCGCTACAGTGGGTAGCTTCCTGCAATCCAGGACCTCTATACCAGGCGGTGTCAGATGAAGGCCCTAAAAATTGTCAAAAATTGTTCAGCCACCCAAGTCAGAAAGTTCTCTCTGCTACCGCACAGCATGCGGTAACGATGCAAAGTCTGGAACCAACATTGTTTTACATAAATCTACCTGAAAATCTATGGCAAGACCTGAAAATGGATGTCTAGCAACGATCAACAACCAATTTGACAGTTTGAAGAATTCTTAAAAGAATAATGGGCAAATGTTGCACAATCCTGGTGTGAAAAGAGATTTACCCAGAAATACTCACAGCTGTAATCACTGCCAAAAGGTGCTTCTACAATGTATTGATTCAGGGGTGTGAATACTTATGTAAATGAGACATTTATGTATTTCATTATCAATACATTTGCAAAAATTTTAAAAAACAAAACATGTTCTCTCTTTGTCAATAGGCGATATCGTGTGTAAATGGGTGACAAATTACATTTTATCCATTTTGAATTCAGGCTGTAGCGCAACAAAATAAATCAAGGTGTATGCATATTTTTCTGAAGGCACTATATATGTACATATCTACTTCAATTACCTCGTACCCCTGCACATCGACTTGGTACTGGTAATATAATAATATAATATGCCATTTAGCAGACGCTTTTATCCAAAGCGACTTACAGTCATGCGTGCATACATTTTTACGTATGGGTGGTCCCGGGGATCGAACCCACTACCCTGGCGTTACAAGCGCCATGCTCTACCAGCTGAGCTACAGAGGACCCTGTGTATATAGCCAAGTTATTGTTACTCATTGTGTACTTATTCCTTAAGTTATTTTTTCTATATTTTTCTCTCTGCATTGTTGTGAAGGGCCCGTAAGTAAGCATTTCACTGTTAGTCTACACCTTCTGTTTACGAAGCGTGTGACAAATACGGTTTGATTTGACATGTCGAAGCAGCATAACACAATTCAAGGCTGTGTGTAAGTTTGTTATTAATTTCCATTTGCAGTTTACACCAGCCAGACTGGTCGAGTCAGCGCTGCAGGTACAGGTCTGTATTTATGGAGGAAGTAAACTGATCTAAGCCCGTAATCACCTCCCGTTACGATGTCCTCATTCCCCCCGGGTGTAGGGTTGATGGGATCTATTGGAGCGGCATTTATCGATCCAAGCTGTTTTCACTGAAATAAATTACTGGCCGGAGATCCATCAAAGCACCATTACGTGATGTTTAGCCAATACGCTCCACTGCACTCTATGGGGATATTAGGACGAGAGGTAATCTCAGTGAGGTTAGACATGGTTGTGTGCCGTGAGCATCGGTGGTCTAGTAGTCAACACCGGGATGAAAACGTTGTCAGAGAGAACAGACAGCAGTGAAGAGACACAGGGGCTTACTCACTCTGCATTAGTCATGCTGTCTGAAATGCACAGAAACACCATGTGTCAGTAGTGTGGTAACATTGAGCTCCCGAGTGGCGCAGCGGTCTAAGGCACTGCATCTCAGCGGTCTAAGGCACTGCATCTCAGCGGTCTAAGGCACTGCATCTCAGCGGTCTAAGGCACTGCATCTCAGCGGTCTAAGGCACTGCATCTCAGTGCTTGAGGCGTCACTACAGACCTCCTGGTTCGATTCCAGGCTGTATCACAACCGGCCGTGATTGGGAGTCCCATAGGGCGGCGCACAATTGGCCCAGCGTCGGGTTTGGTCGGTGTAGGCCGTCGTTGTAAATAAGAATTTGTTCTTAACTGACTTGCCTAAGTTAAATAAAGGTAAAATAAAAAATAAATAAATACATTGGAGGGATAAAGGTTACACTGAGATGAATGCCTTTGTCCAAGGCGGAGTCAAATTTAGAGGAAATAGAAACACCTGAGTGGACACACAGAGCGCTTGCAATGCTAGGGTTGTAGGTTCAATTCCCGCATGGGACACCTGTACTAAAACTGTATGCACGCACTAGATAAAAGCGACTGCTATAATGGCATTTTACTTACTTTACACACACACACACACACACACACACACACACACACACACACAGACACACACAAAGGGTTGACCGCCCTGCCTGTTAAGTGGGTATAAGGTGTGTGGTAACAGAGCTTTGCCTCAGTGGAGTTTGGCCTTGAGGCTGTGACAGAGCATCTGCTCCACTCTACGACTAGTGCTAATGCTAATGCTAAGGCAGTACCACTAGCTCCTACTACACCGGTACTGAACAACCTTAACAATGTTACCCTAGCCATGCCCCCAGCTTTCGCTGTTTTAGGGGATATAGGTAAATAAACACAGTATCAGTTACTGCGAGGGCAGTGTTTTTGTTTGGGGAGTGGCTTATCTTGGACTGTAGGCTAATTGAGAGTGTATCACTGGATTCTTCGCGAAGAAATTACTTATCCTTTAGTCAAATAGAGCTGATGGGATAAGGGTCTTTGACGGCAGAGTTCAAATGGATTACATTTACATTTTGAGTAATTTAGCAGGCAATCTTATCCAGAGCGACTTACAGTTAGTGCATTCATATTAAGATAGCTAGGTGGGACAACCACATATCACAGATCACAGTAAGTACATTTGTCCTCAATAAAGTAGCTATCAGCAAAGTCAGTGCTAGTAGGGAAAACATATATGCCAGTGTCAGTTCACGAAAGGCAAGGGTGTTCATTTTAGATTTCCCTCCTGCAGTTTCACCTCTACTGTTAACTCAACTGGTGAGACAGTCTTCTGAGTGAGGGCTCCAAAAGTATTTAGCTGATCGTTCAATTTACCCAAGTGCGAAATTCCATCTACACTCAATGTTACCGGTGGGGGGGTTGGGGGGGGGGGGGGTTGGGGTACATCAAATGCCCTTGGCCTCAAATAGTGAGCAGTTTCCAGCTGCAGATTATGCGCGCTGACGCCACGAACCTCAAATTGTATGTGCGCGCGCAACCAGTAGACGTTTGTTGGCCTCGTGTATCACGCGAGTCAGTAGCTCTGTTCCAGGGTGGTGCGCACATACCAGATGACGTACTAAGTCTCTGGTCCAGGGCGTTATGTCAACCACTGTTGCTTGAGCCGCTAGCTAGCACAAACTAGCTAGCACAAACTATCTCTAGCACTAGCTAGCTAGCTAGCAAGCTAGCTAGCTAGCACACACTAGCTAGTACCTATCTTCTAATTCTAAGTGTAATTTCACCACCCATGCTGTTGGTGGCGGTAACACACCATCCTCTCTGGCACCATTCGGCATCCTGTCTGAGCTCGTATGTCTCACAGCATCTGCTGCAGCCAGACCCTATTGCAAATAGTTGAAATCCATTCTGTTATACAGCACGTTCAAGCCATAACCATAGTGAGATCCCCCACCTTCCGTCTCATAAGACAGAGATGTTTTGAGATGCTAAGATATATGTTTGAGTTGCATCACTACCCTCTTCATACAGCTTTGATAAGCATTTTAACCTTCCAAACCGGAGTCCAATAACTTTGAACTTTGACCCTCCTTCTCCCTCCCAGACCTATCCGGTCAGTGATGACCCTCCTTCCCCCCTCCCAGACCTATCCAGTCAGTGATGATGCCCCTCCTTCCCCCTCCCAGACCTATCCGGTCAGTGATTACCCTCCTTCCCCCCTCCCAGACCTATCCAGTCAGTGATGATGACCCTCCTTCTCCCTCCCAGACCTATCCAGTCAGTGATGATAACTTACTTGGAGGCCAGGTCTTCCACAGTTGGCGCGTTGCCCTCTGAGTCGCTGTGCGCCCCTTCGTCCTCCTCGTCCCCCACCATCCTGAGGAAGAGGGAAAGAGAGGAGGGGGGGGGGGAGAGAAGGAGAGAACAGAGTGTCACAGCGGTGACCTTCTAAGCAGCGGCTATGGCAGATTGGGTTACATGCTTGTTTAGACCCCCCCTGTTTTATGCAGACTGGGCAGAAACTCATCCACACACACTCACACTGAACCTGCACTGCAAGAATTAAGGTGCCCTGTGAGAGCAGGCCAATCTGCTATCAGAATTGTATTTAATCTGAGGTGAACATATTATCTAAAAACATTATCAACCCAGACTAGTCTCTATTCTACCTCACATTAGTCACATTTACCCAGGGGGTCAAAGGACTGTTCACACACATTCTAAAGTGGGATAACACCAAACTTACCAGAGCAGAGTTTATTCTCAGGCAAAGTCAATCACAAAGCTCTGTTGTCACCTAATTTGAATATTAAACTCCAGAAAAGTAAGTTGTTTTTTTGGTTGGCCCAGGGCTAGGAATATGTAGTGTGAAAAGCCCAACTGTAATTTTCACATGTAATAGGCTTAACTAATTGAATCAATTCATGAATTAGTCCATAATGAGGTATTTGTAACAAAAGTCCAAAACACTTACTGGAAATACTGGATAACATTGAATATGGGAAGCCATTTTGACATTCGCTGGGTAACTATGTCCTTACCTGTTCATGAGAATGAATTGTGTCACGCTTTACACAATGAATGGGGCAACTCACCTGTTGTAGGGCGTGCTGGGCTCGTCGATCTTCATCAACCCGTAGTCCTTGTCTGCCGGGTGGTACGTTGCCAGGATGTTCATTTCGTCCCATTTCTGTGACTTCTTCCTGAAAGAATGGTTCCAGAGAGGAGAGCTCAGGGTGGTATTCAAGCCAACCAGATATTACCCTAGAGACCTGGCAGATTTAATCTAGGACTACTGTGCCCCAGTTTTCACTCCCGTAGTGTATTTCGGGAACACAAACAAGGCTGCAATTAAATCAAAAGGGGTCTTATTATGTACAATTAAATGATTCATTGTTCGGAAAATGACGGTGGCCTCGTACAGACGTGGGTCACTTCACCTTCAGCGTGATGCTGAGGATGATTGAGTGAGTGAGCTGGTGGGTGGATAGAGGTGCTTATCCTTCACAAATGTGCCTTCCCCGGGTACAAATTGTAGGCTCTCTCTGGGCTTCTGGCTGGAGTTGGCGCCTTCAATAACACCGCTGTCTGGACTTGGAGACAGTGCCAAATACAGCCGTTAAACTATCTCTACTGGCACACCCCGCTCTCCCTTTGTCAAAGCAGCCAGCCTGCCGGACGTGTTTATGGGGGGAGAGGCCTGCCATCATGGGACAGAGAGGCAGGGGGGAGAGGGTGATAAATCTGCTCCCTGCTGCAGTAATCCTGCAGAGCCTTCGCTAGCTGCTAACTCACACACACACACACACACACACACACACACACACACCTCTTCCCCCTCACACACACACAAACACAGAGGTGCTCAATAAGTCAGGCACACAGCAGGCAGTTTGACTGTGTCGATGGCACTGGGCTAAATCAAATGGGAGACGTGCCTTGTCCTGCTGTGCCTCACACTAAAATGGCACATCATCAGATGAGGCACATATCCATACTACTCAGTCAGACTTGCTGAGGTAGCCCGGCTCTTAAGCACAGTTTCATAACATATACAACCCATGGTATGCATGTAAGAAACCAATGCAAACTAGTGAAGACAAAACATAAAATGTTGTTATCATTACATGACAGATTGTCAGAGACATACAGTGAGTTCCAAAAGTATTGGGACAGTGACACATTTTTTTGTTGTTTTGGCACTGTGCTCCAGCAGTTTGGATTTGAAATGATACAATGACTATGGAGGTTAAAGTGCAGACGGTCAGCATTAATTTGAGGGTATTTTCATCCATATCGGGAGAACCGTTTAGAAATTACAGCACTTTTTGTACGTAGTCCCCCCCATTGTAGGGGACCAAAGGTATTGGGACAAATTCACTTGTATGTGTATTAAAGTAGTCAAAAGTTAAGTATTTGGTCCCATATTCCTAGCACGCAATGATTACATAAAGCTTGTGACTCTACAATTTTGGTGTTTCCTCCGACACATTGGTGCGGCTGGCTTCCGGCTTAAGCGAGAAGTGTGTAAAGAAGCAGAGCGGCTTGGCAGGGTCGTGTTTCAGAGGACGCAGCGATGGGACAAGACTAACTACCAATTGGATATCACGAAAAAGGGGTAAATGTACAACAAATATCTCACTCATCATTATTCACGATGAATTCAGGATTATCCGTAATCATGGAAGCATCCACATTAATGTAGAAGTGATTAGAAACATTCTATTGTTATTTACAATACAAGTGACTCCAAAATGACAAAATACATTATTTACCATTAACTTCTATTGGGCACAAAATCATCTGAAACACAACCAAAACAAAACAGCAAATGCATCCAACCAGTTTGGAGTCACAAGCTTGATGTAATCATTGCGTGCTATGAATATGGGACCAAATACTAAACGTTCTGACTACTTTAAAACACACAAGTGAATTTGTCCCAATACTTTTGGTCCCCTAAAATAGAGGACTATGTACAAAAGGTGCTGTAATTTGTAAACGGTTCATCTGATAGGGATGAAAATACCCTCAAATTAAAGCTGACAATCTGCACTTTATCCTAATTTCAAATCCTAAGTGCTGGAGCACAGAGCCAAAACAACAAAAATGTGTCACTGTCCTAATACTTTTGGAGCTCACTGTATATGTGGAAATGACTAGTTTGCAGTTACTGCAGCACATCACCAACCCTACTTTGATGCAGCTACATTCACCAGACTTTGAACCCTACCTTGATGCCCAATTTCTAAATCATTTTAGCAAAGGCCAAGTCAGCGTGACTGCATCTGGGCCAGGGCAGATAGGGAGTCTTGTATGTATGTGCATGTGAGGAGTGTTGACAAGCCAGTAGTGGAGAGGAACCAGTAACGTTGCACTGCTCGAACTGTCTGTACGTCAGTCTGTGTATTTCTGTGTCTGTCTTTATCCGTCTGTATGTGTGAGGGGGGACGGTTATACAACACATCCCAGGCACAGCCAGCCAGCCTGGCCTGATTTTCAGTAAACAGCAGACGTGCAAATCCACTCAAGACCTGACGCAGCCAGTCAGAACAAAACGTTTCTATAAAAAAAAACATAATGGAATGACGACAACCACCTCTTCGGGTAAAAACAGCACTCTTACGAGAACGGACTCGGGCAGGCGCTATTTGGCTCTCCCATTCAGTGTGTGTGCAGTGAGTGAGCATCTCTTGGAGGCGCCGACAGCTGTGCACATCCCTCTAAAAACTCTCAGTAAGTGAAGTGAGCTTTGGAGAGGAGTGCTACACTATCAGATAGCATATTCTAAGACAAGCAATGTGTTAAAGAGCTCTCTGGTGTTCCCGTGTGGCTCAGCTGGAAGAGCATGGCGCTATCAACGCCAGGGTTGTGGGTTCGATTTCCACGGGGGGACCAATACGAAAATGTATGCGCTCCACTGTAAGTCGCTCTGGATAAGAGGTCCTGCTAAACAACTAAAATGTAAAAAAATGTGTTGTTTGTAGAACCAGAGCACACCAAAGCCAATATATGGAGTAGTACAGACATGGAGAGGCGGGGAAAGCCCAGATGAAATCAACTGATGTTGAGATAAATCTGTTTTTAAATAAACATATTTTTTGGTTGAACCCAGCGGAGCCCAATGTCAAAGGACTGCAGTGCCCATTTGATCTACTGTACTGCAACAGTCTGTAGGCTCCTATACAGTTCCCGTCTATGGTTTTTACCCACTGTATGAAAAATCATGTCCCTCAACCCATTCATGAAACGGTCAGATGGGGCATCGAAGTCAGTGGAGGAGAGATAGAGTTTCATGGAACCATGCGTGTGACTCAGTTAAAAGTCATTGGCTTTAATGAATAATGAATGACTTGAGCTTGGGGTCCGTGCATCAATGTTGACTGATTAGTGAGTGCAATGAAATGGCCTACATTGAAATTGAGAAAATGTGTTTGACTGTATTGGTCATGGGGCACCAATAGTCATGCCCCGTGACTCTTTCTAGAACTCTATGGCAGGAAGTTGTGATTGTTTGGACTCTGGACAGGTGCAGAGTGGACAAATGCTTTGTGACAGCAATAGGGATATTTGGAAAGCTGGCTCAGGATATCCCCTTGGTGCTGTATAATGAATTAAAAGCTCCAGCCCTTTCTGTCCCCTGCGGGAAACACAAGCGATGACAACACAGCCTAGCGGTTTTGAGCGCTGGGCCAGTAACAGAAAGGATATTTTTGTGTTGGTAAAATTAATTATGCGAGAAATGGCAGTGGAAACTGCAAATATTGATGTAATAACCATCATATCGAAGTAAACTTTGATTATATGTTGTGTGGTCCTCCCACTACAACTCGGGAAAGCATGCTGTTTATAAAGGCACAGCGTTTTATCTGCAACAAGTCAATTTGATGGAAACACATCTCTGGTGGAAAAACGTGCATATTGTTTTTATGCAGGTTTCAGAATATTTGCATGAAAATCTGTTGCCAATTGGAGGAAAACCCTTGCTACAGATAGGAACTTTTGGAATGTCTTCAGGTACAAAGTACTGTTTTCCCAAACAATACATGACTTTGGGCTCCCGAGTGGCGCAGCGGTCTAAGACACTGCATCTCAGCGGTCTAAGGCACTGCATCTCAGCGGTCTAAGGCACTGCATCTCGGTGCTTGAGGCGTCACTACAGACCTCCTGGTTCGATTCCAGGCTGTATCACAACCGGCCGTGATTGGGAGTCCCATAGGGCGGCGCACAATTGGCCCAGCGTCCGGGTTTGGCCTGTGTAGGCTGTCATTGTAAATAAGAATTTGTTCTTAACTGACTTGCCTAGTTAAATAAAGGTGAAATATTTTATTTTTTTTTATAATAAAGAATGAGAAACTGCTGTGGCAATGATACAATTCCGATAGCTTTAGTTGATTCATTGTTCCGTCTGCACAGCTAACCTTGAGATGGGATAGCCAAATAGTGTTGAGGTTGAAGGTTAAAGTGCACGTTTCTCCATAACAATAGCATGCAGTGTTATAATTTCACTGGCACATGTGTTCAATTAGCTTTATGAATGACAGTGTCTGGTCAAAAGTAAGGTCAAAACTAGACTTTTTAAACATCATTCATTGCAAATAGCCTCCTACACCTGTGTACAGTTCTCTACTAAACTAAGTTAAATTGCACCATGAAAAAAAACGAAAGACTGCTGCGAGAACATGCCGCTGTCCTCCCTGATCAAATAGCAAAACAAGCTTGATATTTTGTCGTCCCAGTTGAGCATTCCATTATTACCTGACGTTCTATGGTGACTTCATTATGTGAAAGCTTTAATATTAGAACTCACGTGACTGTTTTGAAATGTTGATGGACATTTTTAAGTGTGACAATATGCTTCAACAATAAATCTCTCTGCTCAGTAGTGCCGGGACGATACCAGCATTGCGATATTCGTTAGTATCGTGGAAAGGAAACAAAAACACGAAGCAGAATTAACTTTAGGAAAACAAAACCAAAATGATGTTGTTGTCATCCAGAGTGACATTTATTTTCCAAGCTATGGCACACCATATTTTACATACAGCAGGTTTTCAAAAGACCAAATAGTTCGGTCTGCTTTGTGGTTTCATTTTTGCCAAGGAATTTTTTTTCGCAGCACTAGTATCGTCTCGGTCCTACTGCTCATCCATCAAAGCTAAATCTGATTTTGACTGAAAGTAGTACACTAATACAGACAGAACAGATGGCTTAAGCTCAAATTTGGGAGAGAGCCTGAAAGGAGTCGTGAGGAGAAAATAAGCCATGTGTGGTTTTGGGAGTACGTCAGAGAGACAGGATAGAAAAACCCTAGCAGTTCCCTTGGTGCGGAAGGAGTGTGTGCATGCAGCCGCGTGTGCGTGTTCTTGTTCATTTTCTACAGACGTGGTCTGAATTGAAGGAGTAGGCTACAGCACGGCCAGCCGTGCGCCTCTCATCCCACTACATTTGGGGATTGGCTGCACAAAGAATCGTTCAGGAAACCTTTTTACCCATTTCCTACAGAGAGACTATTTTGGTATCAACACAGAACTGCCTTGACTCACTGCTGGGAATGGAATTCACTGATAAATGCCATCCTTGTATGGCTTATTTTCAGATGGATGGGAAGTTATGAGCCTCATAGTAGGTTATATGAAGGCTAGCCACCTAACACCATAAATTGACTATATAAATCACATGCATTAATTATTGAAACTCGAACAACCTCCATCTCTATCCACTTGTGCATCTTCACATGGACCACCAGCTCTTTGTTAAAAAGACATCCTGTAATTGAGAAGACATCACTCTTGTTGCTATTAGCCAAGCCGTATTTCCTAGTGGTATCATTTGAGCAACTTAACCGCTCAAAATGATTAGCTCACTGACAGTTTAATGTTACATTGTAGCCAATATATCACCCATTTTGCATGGGACCGATGAGTGGAGACTTGGAGACGCAGCACTCCGAAACTGGAGCGCAGTGACTTTATCCTGAGACATCTGGTCTTGCCACTGCGGCGAAAGAGCCAAAGTGAATGAGATCAATGCATCAGAGGCGCCTGACTTCAGGCATAAACTCACCACAGTTCTGACAACTGAGGCCATGGAGTAAATATAATGTGACAGCTTGGGATGTGGAGGTCAGTGCATTGACAGCAGTCGGGAAGATACTCACTGATGACACTCTAGGCACAAAGGGTGGAGTGTACTGTAGGCTTCCATCCAGCTTCCAAATTTACCCACGGTTTTAGAAACTAAACTGTATGGGACTGTCTGTGCCCACCACAAAATGATAATGAGCCTTTATCATTTACAGGTCTGAATCCTTCAGCTACTGCTGTACATTGTGTGTGATGGATAGTAGGAATGGGTAACTTGCTGGCTAACATACCTGATGCCAACATAAGATTTAAGAAATGTTAACTAATTACTAAAATAATCTCTGGATTTGAACATATCTGTAGAATAAATTAAAAAACAACTTCCAAATTGTTTGTTTGTTTTCGCTGGTAAAAATGGCTGTGCCAACTGCCTGTCATTTTGTCCATAGCTAGCCAGTCAACCCATTCATCACCCACCATTAACAGCCAACTTCAGTGAGTTGGCTGACGACACAGCCAGATTTACGCGGATAAACTATTAACTAGCCACCTTATCAGCTGACATTGACAACAAGCAGACATTTGTGACGTTGCTAACGTTAGCTAGGTAACGTAGCTAGCTAATGTTACCTTCTCGGGCAAACTAGCTAGCAAAATTGGCTTGCTAACATGAACTGGTAAGCTAACAGTCTAGTGAGAACAATATGAGGAAATTGGAAAGTAAGCCTGACAACCGACTTGCTAACGTTAGCTAGCTAGTTAGTTAGCGTTATGTACTAAGTTTCCTGGCACATTGCTGACGACGTTACGTTAGCTAGTAAGTCCATAAAGTTTTTAGCCAGGGCAGCACCCAACGCCGAGTAAGCTAAGCTACCTAGACTGTCGGTGTCAACAAGAAACTAAGCTAGCTAACTGACTCTGTCTACTCACTGTTGGTCATCTTCCAGAAGTCCAGGTTCCACTTGTTCTGGAGTCTCTACTGGCACTTCTTCGGCTGGACCCACTTTGATGCCCGTCCCGCTGTTCTTGTTCTTCAGAATACCTTTTATCGGCCGGGGAGCTGCCATTTCCACAAGGCGCTAGGTCACTCACCGGAGAGTGGTTGTCAATTTTCAGAACTAGCTGTCACGCACTGCACCTTTATTTTGTGCCCTTTGCTTTAATGATTCAAAAAGTAAAACCCGATAACGCTACAACCGTTCCTGCACTCCAAACTCCCGGTTGTCTCATACACACGCTCGACTTCACAGCTGAAACTATTGGGCATGCCCCGGACACCGCATGCTGTTTTGTCTGTGCGGACGACTGGGGTTTAGGTGGCGACTAGCGGCAAAAAGCAGCAGTCGCCGACTGTCGTCACTAGTTACTACAGCCACAAAGTCATAAACCCCGCCCATTTCTACAATTCCTCTTCTTAAAATCAGATTTTAAACTATCCCTAATCCCTTAACCCTAACATTAACCACACTGCCAACCTTATGCCTAACCCTAACCTTAAATTAGGACCAAAAAGCTTTTGTTTTCATTAATTTTTACAATACAAACCATTTTGACTTTATGGCTGTGGTAACTAGTGACAACCGTCGCCGACACCCCCTTCTTTTTTATCATCCGGAGAATATAGAGTTGCTATAACAACGCTTATTGTAACACAGAGATGCGTCATACCCATACTCCAGTTTAATATATATATATATATATATATATATATATAATGGTTGAGTAGAAATTGACTACTCTTCTAGTCTTTTTAAGAAACATTGGTGTGTTGAAAATGCCTAACCACTTGTATAATCTATCTGCATCAGTGGAGGCCGCTGAGGGGAGGACGGCTCATAATAATGTCTGGAACGGTGTAAATGGAATGTCATCTAACAGATAGAAACCATTTGTTTGATACCATTCCACTAATTCCGCTCCAGCCATTACCACGAGCCCGTCCTCTCCAATTAAGGTGCCGCCAACCTCCTGAGATTTGTCTACACTTCAAACAGACATACATGGTAGGGGGCCCACGTGAATAACTGGGGGGCCCTGCCTTGATTGGGTAACTGATTAATACACAAATTCTTATAAACTGCATAATAAATAAATGTGACTGGTCAATTGTGTGAGTCAGGGGCTGAGCCCAAGCCTGTAGGGGGCCCAAGAGGCAAAACAATGTATTTTTTTTTTTATCCAACCACAGTAGCCCGCTCTCAATGTTCAAAATACACCAGAGAGCATAATTTTGCCACAGAGGATCAATAGTTTATACAAAATAACTGTGGATTAAGTTTTATCACAAGCACATACAGGTATCTGCCAAAATTAAGTTAACACCAACATAAAGTGTCTTAAAAGAGAGTTGCGCCACCACGAGCTGCCAGAACAGCTTCAATGCACCTTGGCATAGATTCTACAAGTGGATTTAAACCGTGCCATGAAAATGCACCCCACACCATAACATATACTATACTTTGTATCCCTTGTTTAATAAAGTGTTTCCTTTATTTTGGCAGTTACTGGTATGCCTAAAGTTTGGCCAGAATGTGTGCCAAATATAGGCTACAGCTTGTTGCGATGTGGTCATACACATACTGTATAATCCATAGAAGGGTTTTGTAACCTCTTACCCTGGCAATTTGACTGTAAACTCATAGGTACGCTAGCAATGGATGCCAGCCCTGACTTGAATGGGAACTGCCATCTATGGATTATCTTTAAATGGTTGGTTGCGGCTGTCTGTTTACCTTTTGTAGATTTCAAAATACAAAACGTACAGTTTGGAAAGCAAATGCCTACTGCTGAAAAGAGAAGACTAATCTGTCTGTAGAACCAATTTTTTTCTCAAGAACTCCCAATTTGTAGCTAACAGCAGCACTGTTTTTCAAAGTACTGTAGCTCATCTTGAGATAGGCTATCACTGTGAGTAGCCTATGGCTTAATTATTTATATATTTTTTTTTTAAGAAGCCATGGGCTGTATGATTTCTTAATCCGGCCCTGGTCATCATGGAATGCTCTGCCACCAGAGGTTCCTCAGGCAAAAAGCAAGTTAAGCTTTAAAAATCAGATTTCTAAATATCTAATTTAACTGTACTGTATATAAGAATTTGAATATGAATGGAGTGTAAATAGTATTTTTGTTGTCTCTTGCTGTCTTTACTCTTATTTTATTTAGATGTTTAATTTAATGTAATATCTCATGTTGTTCTTGTCTATTGCTGTTCTGTACTTTGTCATGTATTTGTACATTTTATGAATGTATGCACTCACTAACTGTAAGTCGCTCTGGATAAGAGCGTCTGCTAAATGACTAAAAATGTGGACTCCAGGAAGAGTAGCTGCTGCACGTGCAGTAGTTCATGGGGATCCTAATAAACTAAACTAGACACCTAGCAATTTTATGAAGTTGGCTTTAGCTAGCCCAGATAGGTTCCCAATCTCCCAACCTCAAAACTAGCTACCAAGAAGCCATTTCAAGCTATCAATCAAGCACAAGTAGCTAGCTTGTCCAACTATCTTCGCTGGCATGCCTGCTTACAAGGTTGGTAAACTTTAGAAAAGCAAGCAAACTAAATGTACTGAATAAGACACATTCCTTTCAGTTTTTAGCAGAAATGCAGAGAAGCATATTTCGTTTCTTTAAACAAAGAACCACCAGTCAGGAGAATACAGACAGCTGAAGAGGTATGCTTAGATATGCATAGAATTAAGCGTAATGATTATGGCTCTAGATTTCAGAAAAAAAAGCTGTTTAAGGTGTTTGAAAACTGCTAAATTCTCCAATTTATGGACGGCGTACCCGTGTCCTACTACTCGCCACAAGACAGGATTCAAATCCTCCTACTTGCCCCACTGAGTTGAAGCAGGCAAAGTTCATGCATGATCCTGTCTTGAAGGTGATAGGCAAGGGAGAATTCAGCTCTAATTAATCAAATTTCAAGAGAAAGAAAACATGACCATGCTAGATAAAAAGGTGGGCTATCATATGCGCCTATTGGTCAAATGTAAGAATTCTGAATTTCTTGTCACATAGGCCTAGGCTATGTCCATAAAACTGACAACATAACTAAACACATGGGCCTACATACAGCCTGTTATAGGCTTGTGATTTGAGGTGATGCATGGCTGTGATCCACAGGAGGCTGCTGAGGGGCTGAACGGCTCATAATAATGGACGAAATGGAGTAAATGGAATGTCACCAAACACATGGAAACAATGTGTTTGACGTATTTGATACCATTCCATAGATTCCACTCCAGCCATTACCACGAGCCCGTCCTCCCCAATTAAGGTGCTACCAACCTCCTGTGCTGTGATCAAGTTTCTATTGTCACCTGCACAAGTACAGTGAAATGCCTTCCTTGCTTGCTCTTTCCCAACAATGCAGTAATCAATATTTGTAGTACTATAAAAAATTAAATAAAGTCAACTAGAACAAATATATTTTGTCCAAAAAAAGTTAAGATGAATGCAAAAAGAATCAGAAAATAGCAAAGTTGGGTCAGAGCTCGCAAGATGGCAGCCATCTTAAAGTCTAATGCATAGAAAAATAACTTTGTTTCGCTTTGGACATTGTTTTTAAAGTGATACTCAATATTATTATAATAATTAATATAATAATAATATGCCATTTAGCAGACGCTTTTATCCAAAGCGACTTACAATCATGCATAATTTTTTTTGTGTATGTATACTCCAATGCTCTCATACCTTTGTGGTGTCATAAAGTGTCACGGAATTCCCGTTTTATGACATGCATACATCTATCTCCTGAGTGGCGCAGTGGTCTAAGGCACTGCATCGCAGTGCTAACTGTGCCACTAGAGATCCTGGTTCGAATCCAGGCTCTGTCGCAGCCGCGACCGGGAGACTCATGGGCGGCGCACAATTGGCCCAGCGTTGTCCAGGGTAGGGGAGGGAATGGCCGGCAGGGATGTAGCTCAGTTGATAGAGCATTGCGTTTGCAACGCCAGGGTTGTGGGTTCGATTCCCACGGGGGGCCAGTATAAAAAAATATATATATGTATTCACTAACTGTAAGTCGCTCTGGATAAGAGCGTCTGCTAAATGACGTAAATGTAATACAGTAGAAAAACCTTTACAGTTGCCCATGAGTACGTCGTTTGTCCATTTTGAGACGCCGTAGCCAGTATACACTATCTCAGAATTAATCTAAGATAACTCCATAAATCTGTCATTAATTTTGACTTTTTTGCCAAGGAGATCTTAGTCGCGCAATTTTATATCTAACTAAGATGTTTGGTGCAGTATTTCTCAATGACATTTTTTTCATGAAAACGAGTCGTCGCTTCTTGAATGACAACAAATACTTTATTGAAGAATCCCTACTGTTGACCAATTACCAACGAAGGGGCGTACACTTCAGATCCGAACCTCGGCTTTCCTGCATAAAAAATGTTGTGTGCCCGAACACCCGAAGAAACCCTCACCGAAGTCCAAAACGAACAAAAACGTCCCAAAATGTCGCCATAATATATGCACAAACTCTTCCGAGCTGTTTCGGCTGGGACGCCTTTACCCTCTTTCAGAGACACAACTTTAGGACCCTTTATTACCCTGAAGAGATTAGAGGTACTGGGGGGTTGGGCTTTCTATTGTTTACAGACACTCTGCTCCTGGAACGTTCCGCAACTCTGCCGATCAAGTCAGCTGACAGGGGTCTTCATCTCCGATGAGGTTCAACGGCGGTTGGAATCCAATAAATGTTGCATTACCGCCACCTACTAGACTGGAGTATTACTCCCTTATACTTTGCTTTAAAAAAAAAGAAAATAACTAATACCCTACTATCTAACAATACACTCACAAAAAATATATATCCCATACTCCATTTAAATCTATTTAGTCCTACCTCAGGCCAACAGCCTGAAAGGATGGGAAACCACCACTTAACACACCCTGTAAATCTTCTGATGTGAAGTCTCGCACACCCAAATACCTCTCTGCAGCTGCCACCACAACCTGTATTTTCTGCGACTTACGTTCCATCCCTGCAGTACAGTTGATAGCCATTGCTATAAATGCCAAAAATCCAATCTTACTGAAACATATATCACTT